TCTATCTATCATCTATCTATATACCATCTCTCTATCTACATTTATTTATCCTTCCATTATCTATTTATCTGTCTATCTATCTATCTATCTATCTACCTATCTATCTATCTATCTATCATATCCTATCTAGCCTCTATCATCTATCTATCTATTATGTATCATCTTCTATCTATCATCTGTCTATGTTTTTTTTCCCTCAGTGCAGCAGTTTGTACTATGCCCAGTCATAGATTGGGCGAACGGTTACACCTGAAATTATACAATGTTATAAACCAATGAGACCTCCATAAAATAATTTTTTAAAAAAAGTGAGAACATCATAGCTTCAGAAATCCATATCTGTGGTGAGCAGCAGAAATAACAAAAAAAAAGCCCTGAATTTCTTTTTTGTTATTAAATCACACTCAAATATACATATCACCTTGACAGAGTTTCAAGGCCTCTTCTTTGATTCATGCATTAAAAAATACTGCCTCTTTAAACTTTAAAACTTTGAGATGGGGGAAAAAATACCTAGCGGGCATCCTGTGAATGATTCCTATTTTGCATGTGGTCTTGGCAAAATCTTAGGAGTGGCGGAAGCTCAGCTGTCTGCCCATAAGTGAGTGCCTTCTGAGATGAAGAGATAGCTGAAGGGGCTCCTTTGACAGAATGTTTATTACTTAGATTTATGTCCCTGTCAAGAGCTCTGGGGTCCTCTTGGTTAGGCAGCATCCCTGCTCCCTCTCAAATTGGATAAAGGCCGTGGTTTTATCACCTGCGGACATGTCTGAGTTTGACAAGAGAGGACTCTGCAATTTTCTTACTAGTGAGGCAATTCAGTGCTCCTCTCCTGAACTAGCCAGTGCACCCCTACACGCAGCATCCGGGACCTGCTGTCCGAGCATCCTAACTCGTGGCCCCTGCACTCTAGGTTATGCTGAAGGGCTGGCTTGAAGCTTTCATCAAGGGACACATGCTTGAAAAGTAAGATACCAACCGGTATATCGAAGAGATGTGAGGGGGTGGAAAGAGAACGGCGTCTCAAGACGACGACATAGTCTGCGGAGATGCCCCGTGGAATGGATAGGCAAAACCAGTTCTGTTGAAAGTGACAGCAGGAAAGTTGAGCAGGAAAGAACCCAATGATCGTTTGAATTTATCCTTGCAATACAGCTTTGGCCTGGTGATCTTGTTTAGGAGAAAGGCTGGAAGAGAATCCAAAAAAGCAGGAGAGAAGTCGGAGTCTGACCCTAAATATGGTGCATGATTCTGTATTAGCTGATACAGCTAACCATGTCTCAGCTAATACGGCTGATACAGCTTTGATAGTCTGATCATCAAACATGCGCCCAGAAGTGCTTTTCTATACAATGAATTAAGAGGAAACAAAAGTAGATATGTCAGAAAGTATCAAGTAGCATTTTTACTGAATTCTGTCAGAATCACTCGTGGCTTGATTTAAGCGAGCAGATGATGCGTCATTCATGGCATCAGCTGCTCGAAACATTGATAGATTTATAATCTGTACATGTTACACGAAGTTTTTTGGGTGGAACATTTTGGTTACTTGACATTCACTATGCATAATAATGACTGTAGGTTTGCTCGGGAATTTACTTTAAAGAAATCTAAATATCTCCATGCGTCTGTTCCTCTCTGTTATGGACTGAATTATGTTCCCCCCAAATTCATATGCTGCAGCCCTAACCCCTAATGTGAGTGGATTTGGAGATGGGTCTTTAAAGGAGTAATTGAGGTTAAATGAGGTCATTAGGGTGAGTCCTGATCCAGTAGGACTGGTGTCCTTATGAGAAGAGGAGACGAGGCCGCAGACACGCACAGAGGGACGACCATGGGAGGACACGGGGAGAAGACGGTGTCTACATGCCCAGGAGAGAGACCTCAGGAGGAACCAACCCTGATGACACAATGATCTCATACTTCCAGCCTCCAGGACTGTGTGAAAATAAATTTCTGTTGTTTCAGTTCCCCAGTTGGTGGTATTTAACTATGGCAACCAGAGCCGACTAATGCACTCTCTGCTTCTCCCTCCACACTCTCCTAAAGCCAGTATGCATCTTTTTTCATTACAAAGTATTCCTTAGGGGTGTATCTCTAGATGATATTTAGGAGAGCCACACAAATTGTGGTCCCAGTCTGTGCCACTCTGCAAAATGAATCTCCTTTTCTTGTAATATAAAAACCATACACCAGAATGTAAATGAACTACGTTGTGTATTTTCATAGCTGGATTTTTCTCAATGATGAAAATCTTGACTTATGAGACTGGTAATATGAGTTCACACATCAGCCATTACAATTTGTCTCGATATATGTATGGTTGTGTGTGTGCGGATGTGTGTGTGTGTGTATTATACTGTATTTATTTCCCGGATGCTAGGAATGCAAATACATCTCCCAGCCATGTTTGAACTTCTGGACTATTCCATTCTTCTGCTCCCTGGGGGTTAATTTTACCCTGTGCGTACACAAATCAATACTCAGCCAAAATTTGAGGAGATTCTCTTCTCTGATTTTGGGAGCTCTCTTTATTTACAGGTCTCTTCTCCAGTAGCAACTACAATGGAAAGTGTCTCCTCCCATAAAAGTATAAAAATAAAAACAGGTGAAAGATAGGAAACAGCTGTTCTCAGATACTAGCTCACTGAGAGAAAGGACACAGATGCTCTGAGCCCTGCAATTGCCCCAAGGTATTGCCCTGGGGCAGTTTGCAGGCCCCAGTGCAGAGAGAGAAACCCCAAACACTGTCTGGTCTTCTCAGTGAGATGTGGGGACAGAGGCGGGCACGTGCGGAGGGCTTGGCAAATGGCACTTTTGGGGTGGAGCATTGCAATTGAACAAACCCAGATATGACGGAGATGATAGAATGAACAGACAAGGATGTGAAAACAACTATTACATGTCTGATAAATATGTCAAGAATGAAAAGGAAAAGATCTATGTGATGAGGAGATACATTCAATGAGAAAGGGCCTCAAGGAAGTTTTACAGATCAAAAATGTAATATCTGAGGGTCTCCATCTCTGCAAAAGAGTTGTCACACGGCTACACTTCGTGTTTCTCCAGGTTGTGGCCCCGGCCGCATTCTCTCCGTCCTTAAATCTTAGCCAAATATTCCTCTCCCTGTGACGTGTTCCCGGATCCACCAGACCTTGGCTGTTCACGCCTTCTACTGTGCTCATGTCTCAAAACTCCTGAACCACACTGAGCTGTTCTCTCATGCTTAGGGTTTGTGCTTTACCATAAACGCCTGAAAAGGGGGATCACGTCTTTCATCTCCAGATAGCTTGCTATTGACACATCACCCACACTGAGTGGCCACTCCATAACGGCTTGTTGTGGAAGCTTGGGGTATTTGTACATTTTCTAATTAAATCATTTGTGGAGGATTTTAGCAGCTATTGAGTTGGAGTATCAGAATATTTTGCACATACGTATACACATTTATATCAAAATGTACATATATAACACACGTGTATATACATGCATACGTTATTTTAGGGAAATATTGCTATTTTATTTTAAGCATAATTATTGGATTTTCGATGGAAAATAGAAGCACATCAAAATGTACATATATGCATGCATATATGCAATATGCATATGCATATATGTATATATTTTATATGTACGTATGCATATATATGTACATATTTATATATGTATGCATGCATGTGTATTTATATACACATATATTTATATGTGCACATATATGTATGCATACTCATGTATATACGTATGCATATGTTAATATACATATATACATACATTTTGATACTATTCTATTTTCCAAGGACAATCCAATAATTATGTTTAAAATAAAATAGGAGATTTTTTCCCCTAAAATAACTGCCCCACCTAAATACAGATATCCAAACCATTATTCTTTGGATCTGATAATATGTGTTTGTTTGTGTGTGTGTTTTTGCTATATTTATAGTCAGCAAGGTGTAGGAGATCATGGTTTTAACGAAGGGTTCTGCAGCCAGGCTATTTGAGTTGAAATTCTCCTCTTCCTATCTCTGTGACCTTGGCAGGGTACTTAACGTCCCAGCTCCTGAGTCCTCATCTCTAAGATAGGGTTGGAAACAGGCCCTTCCTCAGTGTATCACTGTAAGGTCATGTTGAGAAGTGCTTGGAGCAGCATCCGAATCCCAGTAAGTGCCAGGTGTGAATAATTTTTAATATTTTTTAGAACTCATTGAGGAAATGGTCCTTTCTCTTCATAAAATCTGCATATCAGCCATTAAAGCTAAAAAGGTAAATCTTTTCTTTTTCTTTCTTTTCTTTCAAGTGCAACATCACTTGAAAAAGAAAAAAGCAAAACATTAAATACACGTTGAAACAAAGGTAAAAATGCGGACTCTTTAAGTAAGATGTGTTTCCATTTTCTGATTTTCTTTTAATAAAAATAAATTGGTAGAAAAATCCATGTTGCTGATTAATCTGGTAATCTAAAAATTTACATTCCATATTTCCTGAGGAGAGAATATACATATTCTTTCTACATAAATATTTTAAACATGCATGATGATCAATGAAGTATGGACACAGAAAGACTTATCAACCTAAAAATGCTGATGTCAATGAAGTCTAAATTTTAAAACAAAACCTACATTTTAAAACGTAAATTTTTAAAATAGAAAATCATGCTTGCCCCAATTATTTTGATGGAAGTATGTGGTTTTAAGAGTGTGGAAAGGGTAGTTAATATCGGGAGTTGACCACCAATAGTATAAAATAATTGAACATATAAGCTAACTTCTATTTTTCGGTTGCCATAGTGAAAAGGTAAAGTAATTAATAATCTGATTTGACTTTTCCCTGACTTCATGCACATCTGTGTGCCTGCAGAATGGAGAAACCAAAGCTTCAACACTTACATACATAAGAAAGAAAACCTAGATTCATAAACGAGCTTCATGGCAAGGAATTAAAACGAATTGTGTTGGTCCTTAGGAGAACTGGGCAAGTGCTCTCCAAGGGCTGTAGAATACTGGGACTTTTTCTTTCTCTGCTGCTGATATTGTCTTTGGGCTGGACAATGCCAAGGTAGTTTCCAGAGGCTGTGAATGATCCAGTAGACAGAGGACGGAAAGCAGCAGGAGGGCACATAAGGCCACAGAAAAATCCTTGGGGAAAAAAAAACTATACACGTTTAGGATGCCACATGCATTTCCGTCAGCTGTAAAGGGTTGATGTTCTCAACGTAGCAAGCTAAATAATCAATAGGAAAAATTAAGCTAGAATAAAAACATGAAACCTCCCCAACAAACAGTGCAGAGCAGTTCCACACAGGGCCAATAATAAATAGATGAAAAAATGGTGTTTGTTTCTCACACGTAGTAAGAATTGTGCTTTGAGTAATGAGACAGACATTTTTATGATAAAATTATTGTTTGTTTTTTTTTAAAGACAACACTGAATGGTTAAAAGGTAGGTCAACAAGATATTTTGGGGTTTTTTTTGCTGAGGAAGAGTCACCCTGAGCTAACATCTGTTGCCAATCTTCCTCTATTTTGTATTGGAGTTGCTGCCACAGCATGGCAGATGAGTGGTGTAGGTCCGCGCCCAGGAACTGAACCTGGGCTGCCGAAGCAGAGCATGCCAAACTTAAACCACTAGGCCGCTGGGCTGACCCCCAACAAGAGGTTCTTAAACAATGATGTTGGTAATATTATTACTGTGATTATTTTTTAAAAATGTCATTATGAACCAGAGATGTTAAAACTATATAGTTTGTCACAATAATTCCATATAATGGACTCTACTGTAATGAAATATCAAAAATGTAGAGTAAGATGGACATACCAAGATTCTCATAAGGAAAGTGAAAACAGGAAAAGGTAGGAAATACCAGGGCTTTCCAATATGAGTTTTCCAATAATGCTTCCAATATTAACCATTAAAGATACTCTCATTATGGAATCTATGCAGATACAAAATAATCTTTTAAAGACAAATAATGACATGAGAAAGGAATCCCAATATTGCCTTAAGTGAAACAAACTATTCAAAGGCATATGTGTGTGTACCTTGTTGTTACTTTTAAAACTACACAAATACAAATAAATGCTAAAAAAATGACACAATATATGTGATTTCCTTTTTTTGTTGTTTCTTCCTATTTTATATTTTTGAATTCCATGTTCTGTAGTTTTTACTAGAAAATAACAAAAAAAAGAAACATCGAAGGGCCAGCCCGGTGGCATAGTGATTAAGTTCACAGGCTCCACTTCAGTGGCCCGGGGTTCACAGGTTCGGATCTCGGATGTGGACCTACACTTCACTCATTAAGCCATGCTATGGCAGCGTCCCACGTACAAAATATAGGAAGATGGGCAACAATGTTAGCTCAGGGCCAATCTTCCTCAGGCAGAAAGAGGAAGATAGGCAACAGATGTTAGCTCAGGGCCAATCTTCCTCACATACACAAAAAAAAGAAAAAGAAACATATATTTTCTTATATAAAAGTAAATAATGTTCTAATAGAAATATTTATAATTAATAGACCTCCAAAAGAAAAAGGTTAAATATCATCTAAAATATATAAGACTTTTGCAGTCTGATTTTTGGAGAGAAGAAAGTACATATTCCTTCAACACTGCACAGTGTCCTTTCTGATGTTTGAAGACATTTTGTAACGATATTTCCCAAACCTGCGAAATGGCACTTAGAGAAGACAAATTTGCTAGCCTGAAAACACTCCACACAACCACTCAAATGGGTGACACACTGTCTTGTTCTTACCAGAGACAAAGTTATTGACTAGAGATATT